CTCAGCCCCTCAGCACCCGGCTGGATCCCGCCATTTCCTCAGGTCCCACTAAATCCTTTCTCAGCCCCTCAGCGCCTGGCTGGATCCCGCCATTTCCTCAGGTCCGTCTGGATCCTGCCATTCCCTCAGCACCTGACTGGATCCCACCATTCCTTCAGGTCCCGCTAAATCCCTCCTCATCCCCTCAGTGCCCAGCTGGATCCCGCCATCTCCTCAGGTCCTGCTCAATCCCGCCATTCCCTCTGCGCCTGGCTGGATCCCACCATCTCCTCAGGTCCCACTAAATCTCTCCTCAGCCCCTCAGCGCCCGGCTGGATCCCGCCATCCCCTCAGGCTCCCATTAAATCCCCTCTTCCCACTTAGTGCCCCAGGACCCTTTTCCCGTTGGGAGGGGAGGTGGCAGCAGGGTTGCCCCATGAGCCCCGGCCCAGGCGCCATGTTCTACATGCATTTGCTCGTCAGCAAGCGCGGGCCGCTGGCCAAAATCTGGCTCGCTGCCCACTGGGAGAGGAAGCTGACCAAGGCTCAGATATTTGAGTGCAATTTAGAGGCTACTGTTGAAAAGCTCATCTCGCCAAAGGTACGCTATTAGATGATGAGGTGTCTTCTGGTAAATTCTGGGGTAGAGGCGTTTGTCATCGGGGGGGGGGAACAGGACGGTTTGCTGTCTCGGCGAATTGTCTGGACAAATTTGCGACTTATTTCAGAACTGGCGGGAGGCAAATTCCTAATCTGATTTTACTTCAGTTCTCACTCGGATAAAATCTCCGTCCTGTTCAATGACAGTTATATAAATATTTTACTTGCTGTTTCACTCCTGCAGATCTGTGGCATACATTTAGGTACAGTGTAAGAACATGTCACCACGGTATATTCAAGCGTCTTTCTCTGCGCGCTGGCGGAGCTCCAGGTCACCGCTGGCCCAGGGTTTGAGCCGCTCGTGAGGGAACACGAGCCCGTCGGTGTGGTGTGGTAGCACTGGTCTTTCTTTGGAGACTTTAGAGTACCAGCTGCAGGTCTTGTTCAACAGAATCTGGGAAATTGCCTCAGAAAAGATTAAAAAGTCAGCTGCTTAACCAAAGTCGGGGCACTCAGAAAGCTGCTGTGAAGCTGTACACGGACCACTGGAGGAGAACGCTTTTGTTGATCTTATAATAAATAACTTTTGATCTGTTGTACCCATCCTTCCACTGACACTGCACTTTTTCCAGGTCCCCCATTCTAAGCCCTTAGATAATAAGGGCTAAGCCCTTAGCCCTTAGACAATTAAGCAGATGTAGTGCTAATGAGACCCGGAGGCTGAAGTCCTCTGCGTCTCCCGGACAGGAGCGACTGGAGCAAGCGCAGACGCGGGCAGTCAGGTCCCCGTGACTCAGTCCTTGGCCTCGCCGCTGCGGCTGCATCCAGGGGACCGGTGAGGAACGCTTCCCCTGCTGCAGCTCCATGGTGCAGGACATCCAAGGCTTTCAGCTGGTGCAAGAAGATTTTTATTGTTTGTTTGGGTTTTTTTTCCTCCATGAAAATAACCTGCTTGGTATTTGGTAGCCTGAATTTCATTGTCCGGCTTGCATGGGTTATGCATAACTGAGTGTGGCTAAACGATATTATTTAGAGGTGTTTGCCAAGAGGTTGTGTATGTACCTGGTTATGTACCCTCTACTTTCCATATTATTGCCAAGAGGTACGGGTTACGTACCCTCTACTTTCCCTTGCCTGCTGTCCTGGCTAGCATCAGCATGACCACCTTGAGTGTATTTGCTGCAGAAAGACTTGGCATACATAAGGGCATACTTATGGCCTTTATTTGTATAAAAAGGGCACAGATGTGGTGCCTGCTCAATTAAATAGCCACAGTGTCACATACCAGGGTATGTGCAACTCCTTTCTGTTTCAGGACGTGTTGTGCTGTTCGTTGGCAGTTAGCTGAGGTGTTTTAGATAAAGAACATCAGTTTAGGACTCGCGCCTCAGCATGGGCAGGGTTTAGGTACAGAAGCACCTGGAAGTTCCCAGCTCTGAAAATTCCTTTCTGTTTGTGATTCCCTGTGTCAGTACAAAGCCCTGTTGAATTTCATAGAGTTCTGTACTGGTGTATGTTACTGGAACTCTGTTACTACTGTGTAATATTTTCATTGTAATGTTTTTTCCAAAAATACTAACTCCTGAACAACTCTTTTAAATCATCAAAGTTTACTGTAGCTCTGCGAACCTCTGGACACTTGCTCCTAGGAGTGGTGCGGATTTACCACAGGAAAGCAAAGTACCTCCTGGCAGACTGCAGTGAAGCTTTGACAAAAATGAGGACAGCCTTTCGCCCAGGTACGTACGGAATTCTGCATTTTTCCACCTGTGCCCTTTATGGCTCCCATTTTAAAAGTTCTTCTTGGCTATTTCTGTTAAATGCACATTGATGATCCCGAAGGAAATTGAACATACTAGTGCCTAGTCCTGCTGTTTAGTCTGGCTTAATTTAATGCCATTTCAGGTCTTTGACTCCTTTAAAAGAAGCAGTATCTTAAGTGGTCTTATGAGAAGAATCGCGTCTTCAGCCATTGTTGCTAGATAATTAATTTTAATTCGTGATGACACCAACAACATGTCCAACAGTGTGTTAGTGCCAGACCTGACAGCGTGTTTTGAGCTCTGGCCATGCAGGCAGCCAGAAGGGAGCAGAGATGTCTGGATCCTTTTCCAGCACGCTGTATGTTTGTTGTACTTAGGGAACAAATGCGGAGGCACTGTTGTCTTAAAAAAGGCTACAAACAGGACACCAGCATCTATTGCCAGCCCTAACGTGCTCTGGGACCTGGACTGTTTGCAGAATAGTGAATACCTACTGCGCATTATTCTCAAGGATATGATCTTGATTAGTAAATATTTTAAGCATTTGGAAATCTCTAGAAGAAACATGGGAAGTACACAGTATTATCTACTTTGAATAGATACTACAGTAGCTTCTAGAGGCCTGCACAGCACAAGAAAAAGACACAACAGTCAACTGCAGCAACAGAGATTCCAACTAGGTATAAAGTAGGGGGAAATCTCAGTGAAAGTGGTAAAAACCACTGAAACAGGCTGTCCAGGGATGCTGTGGAAACCATCAGCAGGAACAGTCAAAAGTGATCTGACTTAGAAATTAACCCTGTTTTGAGCAATAGGTTGGGTTAAATGACCTTCAGAAATCCCTTCTCACCTGATTACCAAGTATTTGCAGTCTCACTTCGTAGTTATTTGACACTGGAGAACAGCGTTATGCAGACACTGGAGAGAGAAAGAAAACGCAGTAATTCATTTGAAGTGGTGTGAAAGACTCTTGGCTAAATGTCAGCTGTGAGAATCTTTCAGGGACTTAAAGCAGCTGTTCATAAATCCAGTGTATTTACAGTATTTCAGGTCCTGTAGCAGCAGACTCTTCTGTATTCTGTAAAAAATACGGCTTCTGAAGTATGTGTAAGCTAAGGATTTTAATTCCACTTTGGAGTGCTTTTGACAAAGTGCCTAAACTTTACCTTTCTGTTCTTTAGAATGGCGGCAGACCTTCCTGACAGCTTTATAATCGTCCTGTATGGATTTGGGAGAACATTACTTTCATTGATACTTATTTTGTTGTGTTGTCGGTTTCTTTTAGGACTTGTTGACCTTCCAAAGGAGAATGTTGAGGCTGCTTATCAGTCCATTACATTACCTGAAGAATTTCATGATTTTGAAACACCACTGCCTGATTTAAAGTAAGTGCTTCCCTAGTTTTTAGTCAGTATTTTAGTATTTTTAGAAGTAAAAGATATCCTTACTGTTACCTGATCGAGACTCAGATGGAATTGTTTTGCTTTGTTAACTGAATCCTCCTAAATTCAGAGTCAGCTTTACAAGGCTGCAGTCCCAGGAATGGTGCTTTTGTAGAGTTCCCCAAAGTCCATTTAATCAACAGACCTTTACAATGAAATAATGTCTTGAACTCAGGCTTTAGGGTTTTAAATTGTCTGCGAGCAGCCTGCAAACAGCTTTCTGACCTCAGGAGAAGATATCAAAGTTAGAATAAATCCTGTAGTAAGACCTAGGAAGCTCTGGCGAGTAACCTCGCCATGTTGTGCTGCTCCATTGTGTAACTGCATTTAATTTCTGCTCCGTTGCTCTTTGGGGCCAGGGTATTTTATCAGCACTAGTCAGCTTGGCTCCTGATGAAAAGCCAGAATATTTCTTCGGCTTTTCCTGACACACATCAGCATTAATGTAGAAAAACTGATAAAAAAGCAGGAGGCCAAGACATGTTCCTGATGGCTCTGATGCCCCCAAAGGTCCAGGATAACAGATTTCCACTGGGGCTTCCTTTGTACCTCGTCATAAATAGAGTTGGACGGGGTCTGTAAGTGTTTAGTATTTTGCAAGTATAGCTGTGTGCCAACTCTGTAAAGCTGGCCTTTTCTGCCTGCCCAAAGTGTCTGTGTGCTTCGATTTATAGATGATGGTGTTACACTAATTAGGCGTCTTCTACGTAACGAGCGTCTGGTAGATGGCAGGGCTTGGGGGTGGGCAAACGCACACAAGCCCGAGTTTATGGGTAAAAAAAGAGAGCGGAGAAATGTGAAATACGGAGAGGACCAGTGCTTCCCTCATCCTTATAAAGACATCTGCTGGTCCTTGAGGGGGTTCCTCTCTGAGTATACACCTGGATCATTCGCTCCTGGAGCTCCAGGTGCAGGGGGTATTTAAAAACTGAGTTGGCTGATGCTTCCCGCTCGCTTGTGGCCCTCCCTCAGCCACCCCCTGGCCCGGCTGCTGCGGCTTCAGGCTTTGCTGTACACACTGGAGGGTGCACAGGAACTTTGGCTGGCACAGGCAGCAGCTGCCTACTCGCTTAGAGGTACCAGTTTTATTAAACCTACAGCACCTGTTTTCCATATGCCTATTTTTAGCTTTTAGAGGAAAATCAAAGCAGTGAATTTTATCAATAAAACCTGAAATGGTTTGAATGCGAATAGCTTTGGGAAAGAAACAGTTGTTCTCCCTCCACAGAGGTGAGGATCAGCTGGGGTACTTTCAACGCCATAGGAAACAGAAGCTATCGTTTGGGGGTTTATGATAAAACATCAGGTGGAACACTGTTTAGAAACCAGTTTTCGCATTCCAACTAAATGGTCAGTGGCTTTCAGTTCACCCTATATTTTCTATGTTTGTTTGTTTTTTTTTTAATCAGTGCCATTGATGTTGCTGAACATTTTGCCCTGAATCAGAGCAGAGCTGAAGACATCACACTTACAGAGGATTACGAAAGCAATATGCTTCTCTGTGATAGAAACTTTGGTGAGAGAGGTTGAGAAATTAGAAAATTCCATAGGGAAAAGTGTGTTTTATGCAACATTTTGTACAGTGTGAGTCCTTCCCACATGTGAAAAAGCTGTTATTAAAAGGGCATTTGTTTCACGCTTGGGCTGATCGGCCTGCCATACCTTCTTATGCTTAAATGTTTGTAACTGCTCTGCCTAAGTGATATAGTATGATATCAGAGACTGAGAACCAAACCCAGTATTTTCTGCTTTTTACTGAATTAGCTGAAACTGCTTATTGTTTATTCCATTTGAGGCGTGGGATATCTTACAGTCTTTTAAGAGCTATTCGAAAAATGAGGAAATGGATGAATCCGTGTTTCAAAAAATTCCCGCAGATGAAGCCTCAGAAATTCTGTTGTTTATGCAGATGAAGAGCCAGAGGCACTAAGAAAACAGAGCTTCTTTGACAGCAGCATCTTAATGAGCAGCAACAGTCTCGTGGCTGATCACAACTCGGCGAGCGTGAAGGGAGGCGGGTCTGCGCCGCGCGAGGATGCCTACAGCTTCGAGCACGACTGCTTTGGAGATGAGGAGGATGCTGCGGATATGATTGGTAGGGTTTGCCACGGATAAACAGAACTAGTTGCTTTCCAAATATTTTTATTCTTACAGGGAAACAAACAAGACAGCGTGAAAGCGTTTTCAAACAGAAATTCTCTATGTTTTGTTGTTTTCATGCTTTTTTTCTTTTTTTTTTCCTACTTGTCGCTAAATCTCTGATCGCTTAGACGTTGCCAAGTAAAATCGTTTTGAGGATATGTTTTGGGTTTTTTAGAATTAAAGGCATTCAATTTATACTTAATGTTTAACAACTGAATTTATATTTTCAAAGCTGAACTACTGCTGCCTTTTTATCCTTATTGTTGTAATAACAAAGGCAGCAAAGTAGCTTCTACATCTCTATGGTTTATTTACGTAAACCTTTACAGATCTATACGTTTTAAACAATATCAGTATCCTACTTTTCATAGAAAAGGTGTGCCCCTCAAAATGAAGACTAACATTCTCCTTTTTGTGCTGTTGGACACCCGTACCACCAACAGCCGTCTGTGGAAGCTGAGCTTTTCTTGTTTACAGAGAGTTAACCTTCAATAAGTAACATTAGGCTGTATCAGGCTATTCCGTGACCGCTAAGGCTTAGAGTGATTAAAACTATGCGTTTTGTATTTAAGAAATCCTGTTGAGGGATGAGCAAAATGGCCTAGATAAAGACATTCCTGCTATGGAGGAAGAACGTCCTTTGTCACAAGATCTGTCAGAGATCGGCGCACCCAGTGAGTTTTGCAGCATCTGCTCTGTCTTCCACAAACCCTCTGTCCCTGTCTTAATGCCTCAAGTTACTCACCTTCAGCTTTGTATAATGTCCTGAGCCTTTTTCCCTGGTTCATTTATTTTGCCTTTTTTTTTTTTTCCCCTCCTAATAAGCATCATCCACCATTTTAGGTACAATTTAATCCGACCTGGGTGTTCCAGATTTGTAACGACATTGCTTAGAACCACTTTCCTGTGACATCCCTCTGGAGGGGCTGTTGATCCCGGCGCTGCTCACCCAGCAGCTTTCACAGGGGAGAGGAAACTGCAGCGAGGGATGCTGTAACTTTAAACTTCATCTTTGAGGAGTGTTATCTTCATGGTTCAGTGACAAATGACACTTTCATAGTCCATAAGGGTGGTGTTAGTCTTCTTTTGGTTTCAGATCGATGAAAGAAATTAATTTTTGCAAAGTGTTTCTGGGAGTTTTGTTGTATCTTAAATCCTCATGCCCCCATCACACTGTTACTTTAAAACAGAGAATTCTGGAACAGCTTTAAAAGGAAACAGTGGCACTTGCTTCTCTACTACCTGTTCCAGAAGTATCCACACTGCCATACAGTTGCCTGGGACTGGAAAGAGATTGAAATTAAACGTTTTTTCCCCCTAACCGCTTTTCGTGGGGTGGGTTTTCCTCCAGATCAGTTCTCCAGCCTGTTCCACCTCACGGGCTGGTGTCGGTGAAGGGAGGCGTGCAGTGTACGAGCAGCAGCAGTCCCAGTTATTAACTGGTTCAAGTGACTGTGAGATTAGAGATAAAAGCATAGTTTTCTAACTCTGATCTCTTTTCTCTGATACCATTCTGTGTCGTGAGATTGAGAAATTACTCCATCTTGTAAACTTTATTTTTTAATTTGGGTTATTTGCTGGGTTTTCTTACAGTTGAGGCCGACTGTGCAGACACCACCATTAAGAAAATCAGTCACCTAATGAATGAAACGATACTTTTGCTGAAGGAAGATGAAGGATTTGTGCTTGAGCCAGTTGATGATACAGGTCAGAACTTGACCAGCTTCTTGCTGAATGTTTGCATTAGCTAAGTTAGTTTTTCTTCTTGTTAGTGAAAATATTTGCAAAACAGATTATTCCCACTTTAGACTTAATCTGCTCCTGCCCTCAGAGTTCTGTTTTATGGTAACTAGTATACAAAACCAGTATCAGGTTATTCATCTGATCTGCCCAAATCTCTGCTTACAGTTTCTTCCACGTACCAAATCAAGTTTTGTTGCTCTGCAAGTTCTGCTGGCAGTGCAGGCCCGGCCTGGTCGCCGGTGTTACTGAAGTCTCAGCTGTCGAAAATTTATTGCTCGTGACACATCAGTGACTTTTATGTGTAAAGGAACAATCTTAAAACACTCCGGCCTTTGTAAAACTTTGTTTTGTGAACTTTTAATAAGATCCAAAAAGGAAAAGGTTTCATTTCTCCTGTAAGTCTGAATGTCACCTGTCACGTTCGGCAAATAAACAAGTTCAAGTTGACACTAATATTTAGAATGCTGGAATTTTCCAGCCTGCCAAAATAATATTCAGGAAGTTACAGCTATATAACCAATCCCTGTCTTTCTTCCATGTTTACTACATACATCTTAATTAAATTGCTAAAGAATTAAACTGGCAAATACAGATATTAATTATGAGGTAATGAAACCTGTGGAGTACATCAGCAGTTCCTGGAGCAATTAACTTCCTGATGGATTAAAGATAGCTTATTCAGTCCTGTCAGTATATCATGTGTTCTCATTAAGCCCTCTTGTTCCTGGTTCTTTAGTACAATAGTCATATGTCTTCTGTAATTAAACGTACGGGACTTTCCTGTACAAGAATACAAAGAGTAGATTTTATGAAAACTTCTGGAGGAATGGCCCATGCGCTTCTACTTTGATTTTCAAGTCTGCGCGGTGTCTCGTGGTGCCTTTTTTTTTTGTGCTTCGATATTCTGTGAATAAACTTTTTTTTTTTTTTACTACTTGCTCTATTTAGCTGTCACCCAGAAGAAAAAAAATAAAAGAAAGAGGAAGTTGCTTGTTGATGTAAACAAGGAGCTCAGCTGCAACGCTATATACAACCAGCTTAACAACTGCACGGACATCCTTGCTACGTTAGACCTGGCACCCCCGACAAAAAAAACCATGATGTGGAAGAAATTGGGAGGCGTGGATAAGCTCCTGTCCCACGCTACACAGCCTGTGGTTCACACCGAGCTGCAAAGGGTAAAGATCGGCTCCTTGTAGGTTTTTACACCACTCTATAGATGAGGGGAACTATTGCACACCCCAGGGTCTAACTGGGAGAGGTTTTGCAGGCTGGGGTTTCTGTGAATGCCCAGCAAGCTGCAGGTGCAGGTTTTTATGGTTTGACAGTACACCTGATGATTATTTGCATACTCACCACTAATTGATTCGTCAGAAAGACCATCAGTAGAGCTCACGCTGTAAGCTCCAGCACTCCAACAAGAAGCAAAAAAAAACTGACAAAAGGAACTTTAGGGCTGAGGTTTCATTTCACATTCTGGCACTGGACTGACTGTACACTCATGACACAACTTTGTAGATTTCTGACAGTTTCTTTGCTGCTTTCTACTTTGTTTTATTATCTTCTGTTGTGTTTCTGCTCTGTAATCCATAGGAGACCATGTCTTTCGTCTACATTTACTTTAAAGGTACATCAGGCTTAAGCAGGAGGAGGATGATGATACTGGTACTGGCTTTGGGAGGTAGAATGCTGACGGGGTTTGTGCGTTCCCAGTTGGAGAGGAAGCTGCCAGCTGGAGAGCGGCCGGGGACTGGGAGGTTCCTGGTCACCCCGTCACCTTGGCTGGGGAGGGGGGTCCCGGCCACCCCTGCCTGTGGCTGTGGGTCTGGCTGCTCTTTTTGCTCAAGAAAGATGTGCTTGTTTCCTGGAAATGTGATCTGGCCAAGCCTCTCGTGTCCCCACACGGGGTCTGACAGATCAGTCAGAGAAGCTCTAAGTTCAGAGCTGGTACTGAGGCAGAGCTCAGCGCCTGGACAAGGTGACGGCAGAGACCCGGTGTGAACCCTGCTGCGACGTGTCCTCCCGGCGTGGCTGGAGACAGGGGCTGGCACAGCTTCCCTGCTTAGGGGGTGCACAATTACAGCTTGTTCTTGTTGCGGGTGGAAAACACACACTGGCACGTGGGGAGAGGAATCCCCGCACAGCTAACGGCAGACGTTCCTTTCTTTCACCCTTCCTTCGAGGGAAAAGGATCCAGGCTGTTCCTAAGATGTTTCTTCATGGAGTTCGCTGACAAAATTGAAGCTGCATGAGCCTATTACTTAAAAAAAAATAAATTCAGAATGACCAAATTCAAATCATTTAAATTCTGGGTTGCAGGAATTAATATGCAGCTCATATTTATAATTTTGTCTTGATGACTGCAAATAATCTGACGTGATATTCTGAAAGCAAACAAAAATAATTGTTTTCAGTTGTTTGCACAATGCTTCAAGAGTCACGGGTTTAAGGTGAGAAGAAACGGAATACAGAGGGAGCCTGAGATGGAAGAAACAAGAAAAGAGCAAGATACCACAGGTAATATTTTCATTCTGTTGTTGCAGAATTGGCTGTTGGAAAATATTTTCTATTTTACGTAATGCTTTAGAGACACGTGCACAGGGTTTGCGTGCAGAATTCTACAAATCAAAGGCCCCAAAAGTTAAATGTTAAGGAAATTGGCTGTTGATTTTTTTTTTTTAAGTTGTTTTGTTTTTACAAGTACTTTGCTGTTCTTTTGTTCCTTAGATCAGAAATTGAATGCAAGTCTTTTCCTTCCTTGTGGCACCTTTGGTTTCTCCAGTTGTCAACTAAACTGCAGATTTGAGTGTTTGTTTGTTTATTTTTAATTAAAAATGCTCCCCATTTATTTTGAGCTTAATCAAAACACCCTCCAAATTTCCAAATTCACTTAAATAACTTCTATTTGTATCTTGAAGATTGTGTTTTGGTGAAGCAAGAAAAAATGTTCCACTTTAGATCTTCTGAGAAGTATCTGCTTTCACTCCTTTGCTCTGCTAGAAATAAAACCTCTACGTCTGCCTCAGAAGTGAATCAACAAACCCACCTCCTGCAAGTCCATAAAGGTCAACTTCTAGAAAAGGAAAAACTCTTGGGAGGTTCTTCTTCTGTGCTCATATTGAGAATGATATTTATTCCCTATTTACTCATTTTGGCTCTTACTCTCAAAGACTGCTAACTAGGGTGTGATTTCTGTTTTTCAATTACATATTTATTTTTTTTTTAAGGACAGCGATTCACTGTAATTTCCTCTTAAACCTTGTTTTTTTATTAATACAGAGATGCTGAGAGTAGAAGAGCCAAGTTACCCGCAGGAGTCAGCTCATTCAGAGACTGAGAGAAAGATTAGAAATGATTCGTTTATGTTGACATCACAGAATAACAGAAATGAAACTGATGATAACTGTGGTGAAACTATAGTGAGCAGTTTCCATAAATTTTAGAGACCGAACTGTACTGATTGTTTTCATTTCGTGCTAGGGTGCCATTTAAAACACGTTAAGGAAACGTTTGGAAAGGTTGCTAGAGGCAGCCCGTACGGCATTAAGTAGCTTGTGTTGTGAAAGTTTATTTATAAGCACGTTGGTAGGCTCTCACAATGAATGAACGATGAATTAAAATGTCTGTTAATCGGTATAGATTACAGTCTAATCGCTAAGTAAAACCTTAATATGAAATATAGCCTCTTGGTACTGTAGAGATAATCATCTTTATAAAGGGTAAAACTTACCTTTTGTGACTCATACTGAGGAAATACTTAAGCAGTAGCAAATTATCTAGTTCTGCCATCTTTAGGCTAAGGTGCAAGGACATTCTTTAGAGAATGTGAGCCTCATTAACGTTGAAAAAGAATGACAAAATTGGACTTAATGGCAGCAAAAGTTGCAGGGTCTGTGCCTGAACTGAGCCTGTAGGTGTAGACCCAGCAGTAGGATAAATACTACAGCAGGGTCCTTTTTCTGTGCGAGGAAGGACGTGGTAGAAATAGCAACGGTTAAATCACTTTGGAAAGTGTTTATTATAATAAATTTTCTGAGCAGAGTTACATAATTGAGAATTCCACCGTATGCATTAATTGCGACGCCTACTGATGGTCCCTTCTGTCCCTCCAGCAGGATGGGGCAGCTTTCTCTGAGAGCTCCTCGCTGGCCAACACTCCCCTGGGCTCCGAAGCTGGAACACAACACGTGGAGTTCCCAAAGGTGCGTCTGCTCGCGGCTGACAACCCGGACTTGTTCAGAGGAGGACTCTGTTCTTTCTCAGAAATATTAAAAAAAAAAAAAAAAAAAGCAAGGGCATCATGAACTCAGTGAATTTTGGTGTATTAGCATCATCTTTAGGATATATTTGGCCAGTCAGAAACTTTCGAGCTTGGTACGTGGGGACACATGTGTCCCAGCAGTCTCAGGGTCTGGGAACAGTTTCGGGGCTGAACTGAAACCAGGGCAGTCCTCTCCTGTCAGCCTCAGAGGGCGAGCCCAAAAATCTAAAGCCAAACTTTGGAACATCAGTTCTGGCTCCTGACCAGTACAATCCCTGTCAGCATCCCGGTCGGGCAGAACACAGAACAGGCTGTGACGCTGCCCCCCACCCCCCCAGCTCACAGGGGACCAGTTCCCCAGCACCCGCTGTGGTGCTGTGCCCAGGAGTGGGAAGAACAGAGTCAGGGCGCTTTTTTCTGCTCTGCGGAGCCTGGGTGACCGCTGAGCTGCCGGGGGGTCCTGGGGAATGCCCAGCTCCAGCTGGGGTTAGATTAATCTAGAATTCTTCTGCTTTTTGTCAGCGTGGAGCGTGGCTTTTCACACTCTAACCTTCTGTTCTCTTTTCCTCTCAAGGAGCTAACGAGGAGCGGGGAAGACAGTGAAGAAATAAAGTGGAACAAAAGAACTCTTTGGTTATTCAAAACTTTACAGGTACCAGTGCTGTATTTTGTAATTGGTGCCAAAACCAGACATTGATTTCAGGTGGACCATGGCAAAAAATCTGCTTGTACCGTCCATGATGCTGCATCGTATAACCGCGTTTTGTCGGGTGTTTACATCAGAAACCAGGATTCTGAGGGACTGACGGGGTGTCCTCTCCCACGGCCCCTGGAATTGCTGGAATTTTCTGAACTGCTCCTTCCACGGCAGAGCTGGCTGTAACGCTGCACCCTTGTTCTCTTCCCTCTATGAGGGCACGCTGGAGTATCTACAAACCCCAGCTCCCAGCTGCTGCCAGGGTGCCAGGTCTTGGCTGAGCGCTGCAGGGTGCCAACATTTGGCTCTTCATCTGCTTGAGCTGTTTCTAAGATGAAGGCGAGGGAAATGAGGGAGGCTTATGGTAAAAAGAAACCTGGCAACACCTTCTTTAAGAGCTTTTAATGCCCCAGTGCTTTCGAGGTGCTTGTAATTTAGCAGAGCACGTAGCCTTTGCATCAGGAAGGCTTACTCTGCTTTTCTTGCAGAAATCCTTGTAAAACTGGTGAAGCTGGAAGGTGTGATACCATCTGCCGTGGCAGGAGCCCCCCCAGCCTGCCCCGATGTCCAAACTCTTGCCCGGGCAGCTCAGTGCTTTTCCTCCCTCCTTGCCCAGACGAGTGTTTTGGTGCTTTGGCATTGGGCTGGTTGAGGGTGGGTAGAAAAAAAAAAAACCAAACAAAAAACAACCAGCAAAAAGTTATTTTCCTTCAGGTCGGTTCTCTAATCCAATGCGCCACGTGGCTGAAGGGAAGATGGGAGAAGGTGGTGGAAAAATCTGAGCGTGGGGATTTTGTTCACAGAACACACCCAGCCTTGGTCCAACTCCTCCCTAGGGCCGGGGCTCGACTTCTTGGGGGTTTTAACAATTATTTCAGATGAACGTACCTCAAAGCTTCAGCGCAGCGCCCGGAAACAAATACTTAAATATAAGTGTAGCCATTAAAAAGCGAGAAATAAGAAGACGCAGTGAGGTGTGGCGGGATTGCCTGTGGTAGAGCTGGTCCGTTTGCCCTTTTGAATCACAAGAAGCGTTAGAGATGCGCTTGAACCTGGGGCGGGGGGCAGGCTGCAGTAAGGTGTGTAGGTGTTGGCAAAATTAGGGCAATAAAATGTTAAAGAGGCACTTGGATAAATGCAAATGCCAAGGTAAGGTCCCACTCAAGGCGCGCGAGCAGGCAATAGCGGCTCGGAGCAGCGCTCCTGCGCCCAGGCGGATGGGATCCGGTTTGCCTGGCGGCAAGGCTGACCCGACTGCCTCTCGTTTCCCGCCCCCCCCCTCTGCAGCACCTGAAGAGATCAGGCGTCCCTGCCTTCAGTTTTCGGGAGCTTTGTCGAAAAAACAACCGGAAAGAAGCTGCGGCCACGTTCTACGTCTTTCTGGTGCTGAAGAAGCAGTCGGTCGTGGAGCTCAGGCAGAGCGCTCCCTTTGCTGACATTACAGCCACCCTCTGCCCCGCTCCGGAGGTCGTGTAGCGTGTGGAGGAGCTGATAGAAATTAACGGTATTCTACATTTTTCAGAAAAACGACTGTCTTGTCAAGGCGTGGTAGCCGAGCAGAGCTCCCCCTCCTTTATACCACGGCCCAGAACTGCCAAGGACCGGGCTTGTGCGGGCGTGCTGCCTCCATACTCGTTACCACGGTGCTCGTTAGGATGTTTGTTATTAATATGTGTGTTTATGTGATGGGCAGTTACCTATTCTGTTAATAAAACATGGCTAAAATTCTACGTAAGCGATTTGCACTGCGAGGGGTTTTATGACAGACCTTAAAAAAGTTTCTTAGAGACCAGCTTTGGGGGTTGAATTATTTTCAGTGGGGCTTGTGTGTGTTAATCGTCTCCCGCCATCAGAAAGAGAAGTCTGTTAAGCTCTCTTTATCAAAATATGTCGTCTCTTCGAAATTATTCCTTTCAGAGAATGCTCAGTGTTTGGTATTTCGAGGACTAGCAAGCTCCCCAGTACTGGTTTCATGTGTTCAGGCGGTGAGAGGCTGCGCTGCCACGCAAAGAGTCACGAACTTCGGGGGGAAAAAAACTGCAATTCCAGATTTGATGGCGCGTGTTTACTTAAAGACTTAACCCTTTTATTTACCTGTGGCCCTATTTAAAAATGGATGTTAAACTGCTTATAACTTCCTTGGCGTTTTTCTCTCATTTGGGGTCCGTTTTAGCACTTTCACTGACGTTTTGGGAAGCTGGGGGTTTTTAGTCGCGTCCCACCGGCGGGGCCGGGGATGGTTCCGTGCCCCGGGGCCTCTGTTACCCTGAAATCCATAAAAATCACCGGAAGCTCTTCCCCTCGCTCCGTGCTTTGGTTCTGAAGGATCGAAACCAGCAGCCGCCCGAGCCAGCCTTGGGCTTCGCCGTCGCAGAGTCAGTGGTTTTGGTGTTTTGTCTGAAAACTGGGGAGGGTGGATGACGTTGTCATCCTGCTTTTCCGTGTTGTGCCCCGCGTTGGTGTAATTGTGTGCGCGGGGCGGGGGGGATGCGAGGAGCCCGTTGCGAGGGGTCAGTTCAGGGGAGGAAAAAAAGCTTTAAAAGGCTTTAAAAAAGCTTGAAAAGGCTTTAAAAGCCCCTGCGCCAGCAGGAAGGGACGGGGTGGGCTTCGGGCTGGCTCGTTGCGGGGTTTTCCTTCAGCTGGTTTTCTTTTTTTCCGTGTAGAAACGTTTGATAAACTGTTTGATAAAATGAAACTTTTGATAAAACGTCTCATGAAATAAACTGTTTGATAAAATGAAACGTTTGATAAAAGAAGCAATAAGAAGCCTTTGCCACTGTCCTCCGAGGGGTTATTTTCTGGGTATAAGGGAGGGGAAAGGTGCCCCTGTTGGGTAAAATCCTCTCCATTTTCTGCAACAGAAATGATGTTTTCCTTTTCGGATGCGCCGCTCTGAGCGTGGCCCAGGCCTGGAGCCGGGAGCGGACGGGATTTGCTTTCCCAAATCGCCCTCTCGGCGTCTTGGGAGCGAGCCCGGGGCTGGAGGAGGAGGGAAAACCTCTCCCGGTGAGCTCCTGCATCCCGGGAAACCGAGCGCTGCGGCCCGGGGAGGGAAGGAGAAACCATTTCTGCAATGATCCTGCGTCTCCCAGCAGCGGCATTAATTTTCCTTGCCAGGAGAGATTCCTGGATTCACCAGGAGAGAGGGAAACAAAAGGAGGCAGGAGGCGGGCAGGAATACATGAGTGTTGGGATGTAATCCACACTGAAATGGGTCTGGGGGGAAGCGATGAGGTACAAATCCCGCAGGAAATAATCCTGGAGGAAACCCCCCCCCGGATTTACGAGGCGGGTTCGTCAGGACCCCGGCAGGAGGGCGGGGGCGATGCCAAGGCGGGCGGCGAGGGCCTGGGCCTGGGCCTAAGCTTTAACCTCGGGCCTGGCTCCAGCCCCGGAGCGGGTCCTGCCCCGACTCCCGGCCGCGTT